AATTGCCCATTTATACTCACTCTCTCTTTCCTATTAATTAACCAGTTTTTTATCCACAAAAGGACTTGTTTTATCCTGCGACTACTAAGTTTACTTAGAAGCCTTTGATGAGGAACTTTATCAAAAGCTTTCTGGAAGTCAAGGTAAACTATATCTATTGGATCCCCCTTGTCCACATGTTTGATTACTCCCTCAAAGAACACTAACAGGTGAGAGAAGATCTTCCCTTAAAGAAGCCATGCTGAGTCTGCCTCAATAGGTTTTGTTCATCAATATGCCTACTAATTCTTTCCTTAATAACAGTTTCCACCAACTTACCCCATATTGACGTCAAATTGACTGGCCTATAATTTCCTGGATCTCCTCTGGAACCCTTTTTAAAGACGGGAGTGACATTACCTACCTTCCAGTCCTGCTTCTAATGTATTTGAAGAAAGTTTTATTGTTGGTCTTTATGTTTTTTGCTATATGCTCCTCATATTCCCTTTTTGCTTGCCTGATCACAGACTTGCATTTTATTTGCCACAGCCTGTGTTCCCTTTTATCAGCCTCACTGAAACTAGCTTTCCACCACTTAAAGGAATCCTTACCTTTTACAGCTTCCATTGCTTTGTTTATTAACATGCAGGCTTTTTTCTATACCTATTTGTGCCTTTCCTAACCTGCAGTATATATTTTTTTCTGAGCTTCTAGGATTGTAGTTTTAAATAGTTTCCAAACTTCCTCAGTGGTTTTGACACTTTCTACTATTTCTTTCCGTTTCTTCCTCACGTGTCCCTTCATATCAGAGAAGTTGCCCCTTTTAAAGTTAAAAGTAGTTTTGTCGGTCTTTGGGGGCAACTCCCTATTTATACAAATGTTGAACTCAATAACATTATGGTCACTGTTCCCAAGCGGTGCAGTCACTTTTACATCTCTCACCAGGTCTTGGCCGTTACTTAGGACCAAATCCAGGATTTCCTCTCCCCTGATAGGTTCTGTGACCATCTGTTCCAGAGCACAGTCATTGTGTCTAGAAACTCAGTCTCTTTTTTCCGACTTGAACACATATTGACCCAATCAATATATGGGCAGTTAAAATCACCTATTATGATAGTTAGTTCGTCTAGCCGCTGTCTTTAACTCATTCATCATTTTATAATCCTCCTCTATCTTTTGATCTGGTGGGCTATAACAAACTCCCAGTGTTAAGCTTCTTTTTGGGCCCACTATTTCAACCCATAGCATTTCCAGAAGCGGATCCAATTCTTTTACCCTCTCAATCTTACTGGATTGTATACCCTCTCTGATATACAGAGCCACCCCACCTCCAACCCTTCCCCCCCCCATCATTACGATATAATTCTGTCTACAAAAACTTACCCACTAGGCATCATGCACCTGTCTCCCAGAAACGTTAGTACAGAATGTGCACAGAATATTTTTACATGGGGGGAGGTATGCAGTTTGAAGTGGAACAGGTATCTGAAAAAGTGTGCATGCACACGAAAGCTTATACACAGAATTAAACTCTGTTGATCTTAAAGGTGCCACTGGAGTCAAACTTTGTTCTCATACAATCTTCCGTTTGTGTATACTAGGTGCTGCTTGTTAAGTGGATAAGAACTTTGTTAAATTTATTGTCGTCCAGTAAGACTGAAAGGCAGTGTAACCTAAGATATGGAATAAACAGCCTGATCCCTGATGAATGCATTGCAGTCCAGCTGGAAAACCACCTATATGCTGACAGCCATTTATTTCATCAGCTACATTATTCTACAGCAGATGGTGTGTGCTGTTTGTTTAATAATGTGGTGGGACCCCTAAGGCACATTGCATTGTTCTGTATTCTCGTCATTACAGCCATAATGTAGAATTACGGGCACCTCGAGCAACGTACCCAAATACATAATTAGACTACTAAATATAGCTATATCTCCCCTCCAAATTTAATCGCTTCCATTAGGAAATGTTGACCTCTACATTTGCTCAAAAACAAATAAAAACACAGCTTTAAGATTATTACATTGCAGGCATATTTGAAATAGACATTCTGAATAAAGCACAATCTTGGTTTGGCTTTTAATGCAGAATACCCTGTAATGTTGTGTTCCTACAAATGCCTGCCTGTGTGCTTGTTTGCTTACCACCTGTTCAACAGCCTATATGTGCATAAAATAACATTGTTACAAAAGCACTCTACATTTCCCCATTCTCTGCCCTTACAGAAGGGTAGACCTAACAAAGCATAAAAGTGCTCACAGGCACAAATGTAGCAGTTAGCTAAGGTAAGAAGCTTTCAGGAAAAGTGTGTAGATTTTGCTTCTGCTACAACCTCAGGCCATTTATGTGCTAGTTGTTGTAAATATAGTCCATGTGTGATTTGCTTTTGAATTAGTGTTTTCTGCTTGCCCTCAAACAGTGTAGAAACTTTCCTGGTAATCTTTTATAGTTTTCTGCATCAGAACCAATGAAGCACCATGGGTGCTGGTAGGCAGCCCCTCCCCTTGTAATATGTGGCCTTAGATAGGGAAAAATTGAATTTGGAACCTGTATGTAAACCGCTCAGAGACCCTTTGGGGTTGGAGCGGTATATAAATCGAATGTATAAATAAATAAATAAATAAAAAGCACCAATGGAAGATGCTTGCTGATGTGGATGATTCCCACTTTCCCCTTTCTCCAGAAACCCACCTTTCAAATACTATCTTTGCCCATTTCACTTAACCATATTTACTGGAAAGTTATTCTTCTTAATTGGTTCTGTAAAGACTGTTTTAGAATTAACTTTATGTTGTGTTTCCTAAACGCCCCATGAGGTTCCAGACAAAACTCTAAATTGGCTAAACACCACTAACAAAAGATTTCCAAGGAACTTACGTTCAAGCAGTGCAGGCGTTATAAAGGGGACAGCCCATCAGTTTCAGAGCGTGACCCTCGCGCTCCAAGAAATACAGTAACAGACTGCAAACTGACGTGAGGATTCACCAGGAATACTTTCCCTTCTCCCTCACAGAAAGAATAGTGTAAATGTCTTTGTGAACGGAGGAAATAATAACGATAGCCAGTATTTCTGGATTAATAACTACTCTTCCTTCCTTCCCATTTTCTTTGGCCTGCTCTCTCGCCCCACCACAGCCACCTCTTTTCCCGCCTTTCAATCCACTTCCCTCCTCCTTTACCAAGCTCTCCTTCCCTACCTCCTACCAAAACAGACTCACACATGCGTAGTGTTTTCCATTTTTTTAAAAAAATCCTTTCCCGCCTGCGCACTTCACATCCTCGTAATGCTTTTCCGGCTCTTGCAGAAGGGGCGTGTGTGGGAGGGCTGCTGGTCACAAGTTAGCGTCCTCGTCATCATGGCGGCCGCGAGCGCCAGCTTGCCTGCCAGCCCGCGCGAGAAGCCTGTTTAACGTGCCCTGCGCGCGCCGGGGCAGAACGTTCGCCTCCGCTTAGCTCCGCCCCTCTCGCGCGACTCCTCCCTTCCCCCCCCCCCTCCGCTCTTTCTCCCACCATAGCTAGTAGTAGAGCCGCCAACCTAGGCCGGAGTAGCGAGCGGAGGACCCAGGGGGAGCCGCCTTCGCCGCCGCCCATCGCCCTCCGAGAGGCAGCCTGCGGGGTAGGCCTTGCCGGGGCCTCAGCTGAGCCGCCGCCATGCAGATCACGTTGAAGACGCTGCAGCAGCAGACCTTCAAGATAGACATCGATCCCGAGGAGACGGTGCGGCCTGGGGAGGCGGAGGAGGAGATGGTGGTGTTGGGCCTAAGCCTGGGATTTGGACCGGGGGGGGAGGGGAGGGGAGCGCGATACCTTGCGGCCTTCAGCTCGGTCATTGGCGGGCTTCAGCAGTTGCTGCAAGTTGCGGTGGGGGGAAGTGAGGCTTGCTTCGGGGAGGGAAAAGGCTGGGGGGGGGGGGAGAAGGGAAAGGGGGGGGGGGGGGGGGGGGGAGAGAAGAGGGAGGCGGACGGGCCTTGGGGGACTCGGGCTGTGGAGCGTCTGCCTGCGGTTTGCTTCCTGACTTGACGCCAGCGACTTGGCGCAGGCTTCGAGCCCTGGCTACGGAGGGGGGGAGGGGAGGGGAGGTTGTCGTCTCCACACCCACGCAACCCTTCTCAGTGGGGAGTGACTCCGGCAGCGCTTCTTCCCCCCCGCGTTGTCTACGAGAGGTCCAGAGGGCCTGAAAGGGTGGCGAACGGGGGGTTCGCGCAGTGCTCTCGCATGGGCTTTGCCATGACTGTGCATTATTTCGCTTTGCAGGAGGGGAAGGGAAGGGGGTGTGTGAGAGTGAGCGCGCGCGCGCTCTCGCCCTGGCTGTGTAAGCGAAGAAGGCCGCGCGGAGGGTAGGGGGGGTGTATGTGTTAGCCTTGGCTTCGTCTTGTTTCCCCCACCCTTCCTAAAGTGGCGGGAGGTGTGTAAATGGGGGTGTGTGGGATTGCTTGTGGTTGCTCGTGTTCGTATGTTTTTCTGAATTAACTTGCGCAGTGTTTCAGGAGAACAGAATGTAGTGTGGTGTTATGGGGCCAAACTCTTTGCAATGGAAGAGAAGCATAGTTGATAGTTATTGTAGATTTTGAAGTAATTTCTCTAGGGTTTTTTCTTCTGTGATCATATTTTTTTTAATAGAAAGGTGATGGGAAACTAGGGATGTAGCCTAAATGTGGGTTAAAGGGAGTTTGGTAGTATTATTGAGGGCATTTCCCTCTTTAGGGGGAAATAAGAAGAGTATTGTCTCTTTTCAGATTTGGAAGTATTTTTGCAGAGATGTTACAAACTCCCAGATGATGTGAGACCCCATTTTCTTTGCAGCTGGTATGATACCAACAGATTTTGAAGTGCTGTTAGCTTATTATTTATTTACATTGGGAACTTATCCTAAGAAGCTTAAAATTTCTTCCATCGCAGTGTAATCAAGCTGTTGCTTCTGTTGTTGTTTTCTAAACTTGAACAGTTGACTGAAATTCAAGAAAATACCCCAAGAAAGTAAGCTAAAGGTAGGTCTTGTAAGTCAGGTCTTTAAATTGTCTCAGTATTCCTGAAACCTTTGGGAAAGGAACAAATGAATTAGTAAACATCTTGTTTTAGTTAACTTTTCCCCCTTTTGGAGTTGCCAGTTCTTACTTAGGTAGTATATTTTGCATTAGTTTTTAATATTTTGTTTTTATATACAGCTGCGGATCAAATAAACTTAGCACGTATCTTAGCGTAATGTCCAATAGGACAGCTGTATGAATGTTTTTCAAGGCAAAACTTTAAAGTATAATTATTGGTTAAATACCCCCTCCCGTTGTACTGCAGAGGAGTAAACTGACTGTCATAATGAGTGGCTTTTCAAGGCTTCTGAAAAATGTGTGTAGCTTGACAAATATAATTTATTTTGTACTTGCCAAATTGCAGTACATTATCTGGAGGAGTCCCATAGCTTCACATTAAGCACATTTACGGGGTTATGGAACTAACATTTGTTGTTTTCTTGATTTGCAAGACAGTGGCAGACAATAAGATCTCAAAGCACTATTTGATATCTCTACTTAGGAGTCAAACAGCTGTGTGTTTGTTTGTGGAATGTAGGAGACATAGTCAAGTTGACCTTAGCATAAATTCATTGGGTAGTCTTGGGAAAGCCACTGTCTGTCTCTCTCAACCACAATCCTCCATGTGTAATATAAGGATGACTGTGGTTTACCATATAGTGCTGTTGTAAGGATTACTGAAGTTATGTTTCGGTAGTGTTTTAAGCAGTTAATATTTATAGTGCCTTGGCATTTAGGGCATTGTATACATACATTCAATACGGAATTAATACAGATTTAAATAAAAGTTACCTTGTTTTATGCTTTATAAATTACTTGTATAGGATATGTGGTGCTAAGTGATGGTGACAAAAATATACTGATTTTTAGCTAATCTTTTTCTTTCTACCTAGGCACATAATTCAAACCCTCAATTGCCAGCCCCATGATCTTCTGAACTATAGAGTTTCTCTAAATAGAGGGAGAAAAGGCAATTGTGAAAGACAAAGATTTCTTTTTTGTAAACATGCAGCAGTGTTGTTGACTGAAGTTTCCAGAAGCAGGGATCAGTAATTACGTGCAAAGTTTCCCCCCCACAAGATCAAAAACTAGATTTATCTCGAAATTGGTTTACAAGTTCTAAATACTGAGAGTTTTCATAATACAATATATGGAAAATTATGGCTCATGTGCTTGACCTTGTATTTCAGATGTTTTTGTCCCTAGTTGGTTCTTTATATAGCCAGTGTTAAGTCTTGTGTTTCTTATTAACCATGTAATGCTGTACTGTGGTTTGACACTATGTGAGCAAGTCTGAATTTTTAAATTTTTTTATTATTATTTAATTAATTTTATCCCGCCCTCCCTGCCGTGGCAGGCTCAGGGCGGCTTACAATACGTACCAATAAATATATACATTAAGACTCCACAATATTAAAAACAAAGTTAAATTAATATGTTGTCGAAGGCTTTCACAACCGGCGTTCATTAGTTGCTGTAGATTTTCCGGGTTGTGTGTCCGTGGTCTTGGCATTGTAGAACCTGACATTTCGCCAGTAGCTGTGACTGGCATCCTCCATCTTTCTTAAATACAGTAGAAGCTGACAGTGTTCTCTTGACTATTGGATGGTCGCCTACCCCTAACCCAGGCTGTTGGTCGTCAGGCTGGCGTTGATGTTAGGGCCAGGGCCATGATGTTAGAGGCAGCCCCCTCATTGAAAGCCTGGTGGAAGAGCTCCCATTTTACAGGCCCTGCAGAACTGTAGAAGGTCCCGCAGTGCCCTGATGTCCTCCGGGAGCTCATTCCACCAGTAAACTGTCAGGTTTCTGTGTGCTCCCCATCCCATGCAGTGATTACTTTGTTTTCCTCATTTGTGGAATAGCATGGTTTGTCATTACTGAGTTGCATGTATACTGTAACCCACATAAAAAAAACCCATGATCAAACCTTGATTTGCCATTCTGGTTTGCAGGGCAAGTGGAAGCTGCAGTTTGGGTAGGAGAGAGAAGAAATCACAGTCCACAGGGTGAAGGAGGGAATGTGTAAGGCCAAGGCTCATGCCTGTTGTGCCGGATGGTCGATTGCCATTGACTTGGCTCAGATGCCAAGTGTTTGACAGTTATTAAGAGATTAAAGTAGACTTCAATGCATTTGTATTGAATTCAGATTTCATTTTAACTTGGGTTATCTTTAAGAGACATCTAAGAGCTACATATTAAATAAATAATTTTTTGTTTTTTAAATGTTTTTGTGTGTGCTTGCCTGGAAGTTGTGGCTGACTTCTGGCGACCCCTACTGGGGGCATGGATGTTTTTCAGAGCAGTGGCTTGATTAACTAGCATCTGTGTCCCAGCCCTGGTATTCCTTGGAGGTCTCCTTTCCAAGTAGTTGCCAGAGTCGGCCATGCTTAGCTTCTGAGATCTGACAGGTCAGGGCCATTTTTTCTTTTGTTAAAAAATATTTTTGGCCATCACTCAAAGCTTATTTTAGAATTTTATGTAAAATATGAAGTTTATGCTTTAAATTCATTAAAACTGGCAGAATTACTAGCACAAGTTGTGAATTTGAAACATGGCGTTCTGTGGTGGCTAATCTGTGTTTTGCATACAGGTCTCCTTCCCAAAGACTGTGTGTGTGAAGCCTTTAAGCATTATGGCAGACACTCTACCAAATGTACCCCTTAGTAGAGCAGTACTCAGCACCTCTGTTGCCAGTCACAAGCAGTGTTCCCTCTAAGCTGTTAGTGTGAGCTAGCCCACAGTTTTTTAGCCTCCGGCTCACACATTTTTGTCTTAGCTCAGGAAGGATGGCTCCAGAGCAAACTAATTTATCCAGTAGCCAAATCACTCACTCACAGCTTTAATGCCAGTAGCTCACAACATAGAATTTTTGCTCACAAGACTCCACAGTTTAGAGGGAGCATTGGTCACAAGTAAGAGGCTTTGCTTTGGCAGTGAGGCTTGCTATTTTGGGGGGGGGATTTAGGTATTTTGGCTTGTTACCACTCCCAGCATGTTCTTCAACTTGTTGCTGACAAGAAGATGCGGCATCTTGAAAGAAGGAGCTAGATTTTTAGTTTCAAAGCAAGAGAGCTTGTGGGTTGCTGCATATGTGATATTGTTGCTGGCTTTGTAGTCTGGGTCAGTTTAACCAATACTGTTTCTGTATTGCTATATTAAGTTACCTCTATTTTCAGCTCCAGTTGTAGCTGTTTGGATTGTACTTCTCCAACCTGTGCTGGTTTAATCTTACCTTCAAGGAGAAACACTGGGTTAATACCATCAGTGTCTTAGTCCCTTGTGTGACACTGGTTTAGAACTACATCCCTGGTTCAGTTCTTTCCTCTATCACTGGTTCACTGAGTTACCATGGGTAAACTTCTGAGTCAACAACACATCAGTAAGAAACTTAATAATAACTTGTGTTACACAGTTGTGAAGATTATGAGGTATTCATGGAACACTTTGAACATTCAGGGGTGGTAGATATTACTGCTAATAAAACAACACTTTGTATCGTGAAATTGATTAGGCCTGGGAAGACCATGGTTCAAATCCCTCCTCAGAGATGAACTCCATCGGACAATCTTGTGCAAGTTTTTCAGCCTAATCTGTTTTATAGTTTTGTTAGGATTAAATGTTGAAGATCCCAGGGTGTCCTTGGCTTCTTGGAGGGTGGACAGGATAACGCAGTTCTTTTTAAATTATTGT